TTTTTGCAGGGGGGGTTACACTCAGTAACCCCTTGCGTCTGAATGGCTTTATCACCTTGCTTAGGGTGAAATGATTTTGAAAAAAAAATAATATAAAGTGCCCCTTTTTACAATTTTGCTGATGAACACACCTGTTAAAATTACCCTGGTAAATGGAGCAGAGTTAAATATCCTGCTTTGTTGCATTATATACCAATGTCAATCACCAGAAGCTAAACTGTAACAGAACAGCCATGCAACAGTCATTAGGTTGGATCATAGAGAACTGCCAGATTTGAATTTGTTAGTTTCTGATTCATACACATATTGCAATATTTAAAATGCAACTAAGATATGTAAATATACAGGTAAAAAAGATAAACAAATGTGTATATAAAACATTGTTCCAGAGTTCAAAGGGCACAATCATTTTACTGTTATGTTAAAATTATAGTGCCATCCCTCTCGGGTCAACCGTTATTTATCCTATATATTTTTATAATCTACACTTCTTACCACCTCATTTTATGTCCATACCACAACCACATTCAGTAAATTTCTGTGGATTTAAGTGGATTTGGGGCTTTATAATGGCTGAATAGTATAAAAAATTATTTATTATTGTAGATCATTTATAAAAAATATTAAGAAAAGTTCTATACAGCTATGAGGGGCTCAAATTACATTAGGTAACATTTCTCAGGACCTCAACAACATAAAATTAAACACAACAATTGTTAATACCTAATCATCTCATTAATCATATTTGTCTTATAATTGAATAAAAACTCATTAAACACTTGTAATTATATTAACTCCACAATTATTTTCTAAGTAACTAAGTTTTGTTTGTTATTATAAACCTACCACTAATATTTCAAGCATATCTACATAGCAGTTACTGGTGCAGAAAGTGGGATTGACATGCTGAATTCAAATTCCGGCCAAGGCTGTTATGCTCAATTTCACATCCTTCAGAAAGGCATGAATCCATTTTTTCTCCCTTCAGTTATGAATTAAATAGCAGAGTTGAGTGGGCTTTCTAAGTTTGGTTGGCAGTCAATGTAGATGAAGAACAATACTGAATTCAAAACTGGTTGCGTGTGGGGCTAGAAACTCCACCTGATATAACTGACAAACAACCGAAATCACATTACAAAACAGTGGTGAGACTGTAACACTATGCAAGTTCAACCAACCGACAGACTAAATATTCCTGTTTACTTTGGTTGGTGGCATTCAGTGTTACCTTTTTAGTGAAACTATGATTATGACACCTGCATAAAAGAGTGGGGGCTTCATCTTCTCTTAATCCCAAATGGTTCTCTTGAAGATGTTATTGTTAATATTCCAATTCAATAAAATATTTTTGAAAAACCTCATTTCTTGAAAATATGCCTATGTATCTAGTTTATAAGTTTGTCAAATTCACTGCTAATGTTCTGTTGATTATCAATGTCACTCAATACCTATTTGCTGGAATTTGAAAAAGTAACTGAATGATAGCCCCTTTCACACAAACCAAGCTCTTTACTCCATTAGGAGTAGGTAGGCTTTCCTACCGCCCGGTCAACACTCTTCCCCCTTCTCTTGGACATGAGTAGAGGCTTACGCCTTGTTTCTTGTTTAGGAAGGGGTTTCCGGTTCTCTCTCTCAGTATCTCCAGTTGCCTTGATCTATCCACTACTCTTCTCCTCATCCTTTCTTCTATCACTCCTATCTGATCTTGCTCCAAATTTTCTGTAACCCCTTGCGTCCTAGTGGCTTTCCGCCTTGTTTGGGGTGAAACGCTTAAAAAAAAAAAAAAAAATATATATATACTACTACCGTTTTTATTAAACCCATATCACAGTGATTCCATACTATCTAAGAACATTCGATGAAGTAGATTTTTAATGAGGAACACACTATGTGGTGTTTTATGAAGGTAACTGAGACGAAGGCACTTGTGAGGAATATCGTGTTGAAGATTGTAGAGAATTACCTCGCAGGTCCATGAGGGCTAGAGCAGAGTAGCCTATATGTGTGAGCAAATTGCTAGTGAGGCAGACTGTCCGAGCATCGGCACTGGAATGACAAGGTATGTGCATCAATGAGTCAGATCGAGGCTGGCAGCATACCCAATATGCAAATTCTCTGGCAAGTTCTTGTCGAGTCAGCAGAAGCAATTTTGTGCATTCAACGTAGTTCACGTCGGTGAGTACTAAACCAGAATTTGTTGCAAGGGTGTTTACAGTGTCTCTGCTACAGAATTCCAGCTTTTCTGCTACAAAGATGTTATTTATTAATATTCCAATTCAATCAAATTTCTTGAAAATTTCATTTCTTGAAAATATGCATTTTTGCCTGTATCCACACTTTAGAGACACCTTGTATTTTAATATGTAGCCAGGTTGTTAAGAATTTGAACAATTAAATTGCTGTTTTTTAAATACACAGAAATGTTTAATCAAATAATTTTTAAGGTTACTTCTAGATATTATATATGAGGGGGTACTGAAAAGTTCCCAAAATGAGCACTTTAATGACCATCCATTATCAAAAACTTCAGAAATGATGCCCCAAATGTGTTGAACAGCAAATATGGAATAGAATGCATTTCATGACAGTTATTCTTCTCATGCTAAGAAATTTTCTGCATGTTGACAGTTTGAAATAATTTGATTCCTTTTGTTTATTAAACTATCCATGTTCTTAAATTGTATAATTTGCATTCTTTTTGAAAAGCATAAAAAGAATCAAATTTAGAAGCGTTCAAAATAAACAGGCACCCATTTCGCAAAATCATTAAGTGTGAAATAGACTTTTTGGGTAAATAAATAAAAAAACATTAATTTTTTTAGTATTAAAAAGCTCTTTTAAAAGTATTCAAAATAGAGTACTTACACATCCAATAAATAAATATAAGTTTAATGGGCTTAACTCAACTGACTCCAGATTTTTTCATTGAAATGTTCATCAACAGTTGTAACAAATAAAATGTGCCTTCTGGTGAGGTTTGTAAAGGAAAACCACTGTTACACCTGCTCTGCTTTTAGTCAGCTCAACCACAGGAGACTTGCATAGTCAAGCAAAGCTCAATTCGCCTATTTAAGAAATGCACATATCTTGATCAGATCTCTGAAAGCCCATATCTGTTAATGTTTATTTTCATGTTTGAAGCATAATAATTGTAATTTCTCAGGAATTTGTGGATTTTATTTCTTACTAGCATTAGAGCCTAGCGTTGCCCGGGGATGTAACAGTAAGAGATAGATCAAGTATCGATCATCATAAAGACTGAAAAATAAAATTGACAAAGATTATTGTTTAAGGTTGACGGACACGCATGTCTTAATTAGTATTTTTTTTTTTTATTTTTATGAATTGGTCAAACCCAAACTCAAACATTGTTTTCAATCGTTATGAGTCTACTGATCGAATAGAATTTTATTATAAACAATTGTCTTGTAAATGGAATTTTTAAAGCATTCTGAATGTAAAAATAAAGAAAAAAGTGTGCAAGACAATAACAAAAAAAAGCGAAGTTTTGTTGAAATCGGTTGAAAAAATGTAGGAAAGCCGATCCCATATATAAACGGACACACACACACACAGACAACCTGGGTTTTATAATAAATATAACTCGATATGAGTTGTCCCACTTTCATTCTCGCGACGCCTCTTAATCGTGTTTTCAAATTGATTTTGTGCAAAAATAATAGTGTTTTTTCTCATTTTGGGCGCTGTCAGAACCACCGCAAGGTAATTTTACGTAGTCCTGTGAAATTTTGTTGAAATCGGTTGAAAAATGTAGGAAATCCGATCCAATATATAAACGTACAGACACACACACACAACCTGGGTTTTATAATAAGTATGATTACATATTATATTTAGTGTATACACATGTTTCAGTATACACTCTGTTCATTCAAGAGTCTTAATAAAGAAAATGCACATTCTGGCAAGACACAAACTTGCATCACTCTTTGGATTGGAACAAAAATTTGTTTGATATGCTGGCAAATACTCTATATAAGAAAAAAAAAATAAACTAAATTATTAATAATGATGATGATGTTAGCTGTTTCCTTATAAGGAAACATTCAGTATTCATTGACTGAACAGTTAGCATGACTGTCAGTCAAAATTTATAAAACCCTTCAATTGAAACAGTTTTTCTGGAAAATAAACTTTTCAAGCCCACTGCTATTTATGATTTGTTTTCTACAGCTTATCAACCCTTTTCAGGTTATTTAAAGCCAGAACATTTTTTGAGATAATAATGGTTTAATGATGTGAGTTATACTAATTAACCCATACCAGGTGGAGAGGTGGATTCATACCTTTCCAAAGAGTATTTGCTCAGAAGTGAATATAATGAACCAAATGGGAATTGGAACTCGGCTTCCCGAGCTATTATTCATTATATCACTTGTACTTGGGAATACCTGGTGCTGTATTCCCAAGAAGTCACCCATCTAGGTACTGGTCAGGCATGATGTTGCTTAACTTCGGTGACTGTAGAGGAACTAATGCCTCAATATGATGTGGCTGTAAATGGCTACTGTTATTGTTTTTTCTAGTATTGAAGAGGGTTTCATTCCTAAAGTTTCATTAAAATCTGACAATTATCAGATTTTTGCAAGAAATTTCCAATTCAATATGTTTTTTGCTGCAAAAAGACACTAAAATTTCCAATTTTAATATATGGTCACTCGTTGATGCAAGAAAAAAAAATTTTAATCAATTTTGAAGGTTTAAAAGTAAATATAATTCAATAATCAAAAAATTCTTTGGTCTTTCCTCTTAATATTAGCACAAAGGTTTTGAATGACGATAAAATTTGTTTTTATTAAGTTTGGAGCATTTTTTGTCATCATGTAAGCTCATGTTTAGCAAATATTTGGAAGTACCTACATTATAGATAGGCTTGTTAATACTTGTCTTGATTCATGAGGACTGAAAATCTCTCTTACCCTGAATTTCAATGCATTTCTGTAGTAAATTCATTAGCAGTGCAGTTACATTAGACAAACTGCACAGATAGAGAGAGGAAAAAGAGTGATAGGATGAGGGGAAAAAAACACTCCCCCATTCCTCCAAACAAAGAAGAAAATTCACTTTGCTGCTTGCAGACCTACATGAAGGTGCATTTCAGGCCTGCAGTAAATTAAAAAATCAGCAGGCAATGATACCGGTCATGGGGTGGGCAGAATTTTGACTAGACCATGGGTGGATGGTAGTTGGGTAGGTAAGTCATATATAGGTAGTCAGTATTTAGAAAAAAATACCAGACAGGAAAGAACAGGGTGTTGTCTGGTCGACAACAGCAAATAGCAGGGTAACATGCACTTTTACAGTTGCAATAGCAACTTACAGCAACAACAAAACAACATTTTTCATGGTTGTTTTTTCTTTCTCTCTTTCTTTCCTGCCTTTTTCTCTACTTTCTTCTGTCTTGAAAACTTTCTCGGTGACAGCTTTTGTTTTTTCGTTTTTTTAAAAAGTGTGACTCCGTTTTTATTTCTATAGATAAGGGGAAAAAAAATGGACAAAAATGTGTTTGAATATACGTCTATTTTTTTTTTTTTTTTTTTTTTTTTAAGTTTACTTTATTTCTCAAAATGTTTTCTGGATCAACTTGTCAGTTATTTTCAAATAAGTTTTGTCATTACAAAGTAGGTTTATCCAACAAACTTATGTCAATTCCTGAGCAAGTTCAGTTTTAATATAAAAACAGGATTCGTTCAAGTCAACAAACAGGAATTTAGACTTTTGGTAAATATTTCACAATTCAGCATCATCTGCATTCCTTTAATTCAGAATTTTTTAAAAATAAATTAGAAACAGTTATATAATGTACCTAAGTCTGGTACAAACACACTACTCAAGGAGACAACCTTGTTAACCGCTGTTTTGATGACAGTGTGTCCAAAAAATTATTAAACTTAGGCTGTACAAGACTGCAAGTTTCGGGCACCCAGTAAGAAACAAACTCACTACAGTAATAAATGTTTGCACTATGCTTTGGCAAATTAACCCACACAATGATATACATATACAAGCATTATTTGTGCATTTTCAAGGGTGGTTTAAGGGAGATAAAAGGACATTAAAGTTTTCAGCCTTTTACCATAATTGTTTTTCGGGGGGGGGATTATTTTATAATAGCTTAAAATTCCATAATAATGTAATAGCTTAAAATATAATTAATACCACTGCTGTAAGTTCTGCGAAAGCTGAAAGAGGATTTTCTGTGATGAACATAATTTATTCTGACAAAAGAAATCATTCTGCTCACCCCATGACCAGTATCATTGCCTGCTGATTTTTTAAAAATATAGAAAATCTGCTAGTCATAAATTTGATAGGTCTTCCATTGGATCTTCGGGACTGGAGTGATTTAGTTTGAATATGGCTAAGAAACCATAACACAGCTGATGACACTAGAGTCAAAAAGCATCATACTTTGGAACAGAAATATAATGAGAACAGAATTTCAATCTGGAAATATCTTAATAAATAAATGTTTTCTATTAAATAATCAAAATGGTTTAATTCTTTTTGATACTATAATGTGATTTGTTTCCATTCTCAGATTGAAAAAAAAAAAAAAAAATAAGCAGAGTAAGTTCCTAAAGATTACCTTGCCTTTATAGAACCAGTTACTGGAAATTTAGGATGTTAATCTGTTACATGACTCGTGATTGTGATGTTTATAGTATTTAATGCACCTGCCTCTTCGGTCATCGGCAGGGTATATGTGAAAAGGGTTGATAAAATTAAATTTCTGGCCAGATGCTTTACAGCGGATATATCTTGGACAAGCAATAATGACATGTTAATCAAGAAAATGCAGCAGCAACTCAATTTACAGAGAATTCTCAAGAAAAAGTAATTTACAAAGGGAGCTGTTGATGACCTACCTCTGCTCTGTTGAGAATGTGCTGGCATTTAGCATCATTGTTTGTTATGCTAGCTACTCGGCAACAGACAAGAGAGCCCTCCAAAGGATTATAGATGTTGTTCAGAAAATAACGGGTTGGCCGATGCCCTCCTTGGAGCACATTTCTAATTCTCATTGCCACAGCAAAGCAGAAGGCATAATGAAAGACAGCACACATGTGCCACCTATTTGAACTGTTACCCTCAGGACAACATTTTAGTTCTGTCAGTTCTAGTGTCTTAAAGACGGCTTTTATCTTTAGGCCCCACTTAAAAATGAATGCTGCCAATTTTTGATATAATTTAAACATTATTACTTTTCTTTATTCAATCATGTGTATTGGTGCAATGGGGACTGCTGTCCAATTTCATTGTGCATTGAACAGCGACATGAAGAATAAATAAATATTGGACAAAAGTGCTCAATAATGATTATAGATACAGAATAAACCTGAAGATTGCACAGTGATGTGAAACTGGTAGTCAACATACAGTGTTGATCCCTATGTTCACAAAGTCTCCCACACATATACATAAATTGAATGAGAAACTAAAAGAATAATAAATATATAAAACAATTTGGAAATTTTCTATTTTGATATATTTTGCCAATAAACTATTATCATTAGTTTATTCTCTGTTCTTACCAAATTAGTACTGAAATTAGTATTTTGATAACTATACAGTTATCTAAACTCCAACTCGATTTTTTATAGAGATTAGATTTTAAGCATTCTGTCACTTTAAGATTTGTCTCCTTAATGTAGATTTTAAGTAAAAAAAAAAAAATATGCATTCAGCCACTTACACATTTTGTGTCGTTAATGTACAAAGGTGAGTTAAAATGTAATGAAATTTTATTTATTATATAAGGAATACATTAAAACATATTGTACATCAAGATATAACTATACATCACAGGTTAACATCCCTACTATTCAACATAGTCACATCATCTTTCAATGGCAGTGTTCCATCTATAAATGAAGTCCTGTATCCCGGCTTTATAAAACTCAGCTGGATTCTGATGCAGCCATTTCCTTACAGCACTTTTCACTCTTTCATCACCACCTAACTTAACACTCTCAGATTCCTGTCTCTTTGGTCCAATGAAAGAGACACTGGGAGGAAAACATAAAACAAATTGCATTACTTACCTGACTTACCCTTCTAAATTTTAAGTTAAAAAACAAGCATTCTGTCACTTTAAGTTTTGTATTGTGAATGAAAGTGCTTTGATCTCTAGATTATTTACATTTTGTGTCATTAATGTACAAGGGTGAGTTAAAACGTAATGCAATTTGTTTTATTATATAAGAAATAAGGAATACATCTAAACATATTGTACATCAAGATATAGCTATACATCACAGGTTCACATTCCTACTATTCAACATGGTCTCCACATCTTACAATGGCAGTGTTCCACCTATGAATGAAGTCCTGTATGCCAGCTTTGTAAAACTCAAATGGATGCTGATGCTGCCATTTCCTTACGGCACTTTTCACTCCTTCATCACCACCTAACTTAGCATTCTCAAATTCCTATCTCTTTGGTCTAATGAAAGAGTCACTGAGGGGAAAACATAATAAAACAAATTGCATTACTTACCTGATTTACCCTTTTAGATTTTAAGTTAAAAAAAAAAAACAAAACAAGCATTCTGCCAGTTTTGTCTTGTTGATGAAAGTGCTTTCATCTCTAGATTATTTACATTAAGATTATGTCCAAGTTCTTGCAACATTTCACCTTTCTTGGCAGGTCTTCTATTATCACAATGTGCAATATTTAATAACAAAAGTGATGGAAACAAAGAAAAAGAAACTAAATGAAAGTGGCTAAACTCTATACCCAAATCAAATTAAAAATTTTAAATTCTCAGCTTCCCCAGATTTTTCTTTGTGCTCATGTGCAGTCACATCAACATAAATTTAATCCAATCAAGTTCTAAAGGATGAAATGTGTCCCACAAAAACCTTTTCTGAATGTATATATATATTTTTTTTAATCAATTAACCCCAAGCAAGGTGATAATGCTGCTAAGATGCACAAGACTACTTCAAGTGAAAAGGAATGCAAAGATGTTAGAAGGAACCAGAAACCCAATCCTCAACAGGAAACTAGGGATAAACCTCTACTCCTGTTCAAAAGACAAGGGAGAAGTGTAAACCAAATGGTAGGCAAACCTATCTACTGTTAGTAAGGAAAAAAATAAATAGTAAATGAAATTTCAGAGTTTAGATTGCAACATCAGAAGTATAGAGTTGAAGCAGACTTTAAAAGGAACCGGAAACCCAAATATATGATTAGGTTTCCAGTATTCCTACCATTAATTTATATATAAATTAATGGTAGGAGTACTTTCATTCTAATTCAGAAGCTTAAACTTTCTGGCTTTCCACCCATTCATGGACTTGAACTTTTAGCTTAATTGGTATACCACTTAAGCTAAAAGTTCAAGTCTATGACTTTGCAGTCATCAACTAGGATGCCATCCAATCAAGTTATTTTTACATAACATACCTTAGAGTTTTTGATGGTATAATAATCATCAGTGTAAAAGAAAACAAAATATTCACACGCAGGAAACCAATTTCAGTTGATTGAACTGTTTTTATGTCTTATCAAACTTTTGCAGCTTATTTAAAGACTGTAAGAATTTTTTTTGAGATAATAATGATCTACTAATTAACCCATAGCTGGTAGGGGAAGACATTGATTTATACCTTTCCCAAGAGTATTTGCATGTAAGTGAATTTAACAAACCCAACAGGAATTGGAACTTGTCTCTTTGATTAATAATTCCAAGTCATTACTCATTACAACACCCATACATCCAAGCTTACAGCACCTGGTATTCCCAAACAATCACCTATCTAGGTACTGACCAGGCTTGACATTGCTTAACTTTGGTGATCATAAGGGAACTGGTGTTTTAGCTTTCCAATAGGCATAGATAGGTTTGTCTATCATCCAGTTTACACTCCTCCCCAGGAGTAAAGATTTATCCCTCATTTCCTGTTTAGGATTAGGTTTCCAGCCCCTTATAATCTGCTTCAACATCTGCACTTGAACTCTTAAATTTTATTCAATAACTATTTATTTCATTTTTTTTTTCCTCTTCCACCAACTGGAATAGATAGGTTTGCCTGTCATCCAGTTCACACTCTACAGCAATCTTTTGAACAGGAGTAAAGATTTATCCCTTGTTTCCTCTTTAGGATTGGGTTTCCGGTTCTTTCTAGAGTTTTCTCTTTCTCTTTCACTCCCAGTAGATCCATTGCGTCTTAGTGGCATTATTGCCTTCCTTGGTAGAAAAAAAAAAAATTAAAATTCTGAAAAAAGAGACTGAGAATAGTGAGTGAAGTCCAGGAGTAGATAGGTTTTCCTATCTTCTGGTTCACACTCCTCCCAAGTCTTTTGAACAGGAATAGAGATTTATCCCTTGTTTCTTGTTTAGGATTGGGTTTCTGGTTCCCTCTAAAGTCTACATCAGCTCTATACTCTTGATGCTAATATAACGCCACACATTAAACCTCTACTTTGGGTGGCTCTTGGGCCTTGTACTGGGTGAACATCAGTGTAAAAAATGAAAAAAATATGACAGTAAGCCTCAATTTCAATTTCCACTTGATGCTGTGCATATTCAGTGAGATCATGCCGTTTTTCAAAAGTATGAATCCAAAGCCCCAAGTCTCATTACTGAGATATCACATTTGTTAATGAAAAAGAACGCATACAGACCAGAGATTTTCCACAGCTACTGGTGTCCTGACATACACTACATCACCTTTTATCATAGGTGGAACATCACAAGCCTCTCTTTCTATATTTCTATTTCCATAGCAAGTGCTGTGATGTACTACATTCATAAGTCTGAATTGTTTACCAATTTAGACTTTCAAAGCTCATCTTGGGTATGACGATAAACTACATCCACATCATGGGTAAGACGATAAACTACGTCCAACAGCAAGGCCTCTGATCAGGTTTCATAGGAACCACCTCTTAATTGCTGGTGTTCCCAGGTGCACCCTGACCCGGGGTGGTAACACCTGCTGGGGTCCCAGCTACGGGCAAATAGTTAACACCTAAACTTGGGTTAAAATACTATGAAAGTGTAAAAATAGGTTCTATTAACAGAAATACTTTGTAAAAAAAAAACAAAAAAAAAAAAAATAAAAAACTTATTACCAGTAATGATTTTTTGAAAAAAAATTTTATCAGCAATAAAAATTTTTGGCATTAAGTAACCCATTGAGGTTGATATGCCATAAAACAAACCAAACTTCCAAAGCTAAGACTTGCCATGCCATGTACAATTGGATGAATCATCCCTTTTCTCTTCATATTCAATTAGTAAAAAGTTCCATTCCAACAGCCTCTTCTCAAGAACATTTACTTTGTAGAACAGATTCCCATGCCGATGCTTCCTTGATCACTAAGCTCTTTAAGTCTGGTGAATGGACAGTAGCATACTGGACAATTGTGTAACAGACAATTGCATCCCTGGACATTTGTGTCCCTAGACAAATGCATTCCTAGACAATTGCATACCTTTGATAATTTTTTAGTTAGTATTTCCTTTCTTTTTTTTTAATATATAAATTTGCACACTAATATCTTTTAATTACTCTAAACAAGCAGGAAAAAAAGAGGAGAAAAATTTCTATTTTAAAGCAAGAGAAAATTAAGCTAGCACTGTCAATTCACTCTAGCAGTGCATACCACAAACATCTAATAGATTCTGGATTTTATAGATTATATTTTTATTTGGAAGTTCCAAAAATCAAACTCGGGTGGAAAAATGTTTGTGGATGAAGAAAATTGCAGTTACCACTATCATATGAAAAACACCAATGAAATTAAAACATACTGGCAATGTGTAGAGCGATGTTGCAATATTGTTAATCTGTCATTGCATTTTAAACAAAAATAAACTTTTAATGTTTTTATTTTATTCCTTTTTTAAAAATTTATGATTAATACCTATGCTTTTTTCAAAATTTATGGTTATTGCCTTTAAAAGCTTCCAAAAATTATCAGAGATATACATTTGTCCAGGGATGCAATCTCATTCAGAAACATCCTACTATGAGTGACTCTTGGGCCTTGAGTGAACAATAAGTGTAAAAAAAAAATTATTTCATGTTATTTGGAGAGATAGGGGATTGCACCAAGCTACCTTGGCTAGAAATAGCTTAGAGGACCCAGTTTGGTATCTTGATAATCAACCAGATCATGGGTCACCAAACATTTTAGATCATCAACCCACTTCATGGAATCCTTGATCCCTCATCAACTTCCAAGCATGAAAAAAAAAAAAAAAAAAGAAAAAGGTAGCAGTAGAAATTTCTTTGCCCTTTTCTTTTATTGTTTCCCCAAGAAGATACATTTTAGTGTTATACTTTGTTATTCCTTTTTCAATTTCTTTTTCTCTTCCTATATGAGATGTATTTGATTAAACAACAATAATAATAATATCATCTTCATTAATAATATAGCTAATAATAAACACATTAAAACTAACTTATACCTTTTTATTGAATTGGAGATTTATGATTATATTGAAACACTGGTTCTCATAAGATCGCCAAAGTTAAAAAATGTCAAGCCTGGTCAGTACTTAGATGGATGACTGCTTGGGAATACCAGGTATTGTAAACTTTGATGTGCAGGTGGTGTAATGGATAACAGCTTGGAATTGGAATTCAGCTCTCAGAGTTCCAATTTCAGTTGTGTTTGTTATATTCACTTACACATACTCTTGGGAAAGGTATGAATCTATCTCTTCTACCCCCAGCTATGGGTTAATCTCTAGGCCTTGTATCAGTAAAATCATCTACTTATGACTAACACAGATTTTGCGAGAACAAAGGGAGTCTGATATTATTGTTTTGTTTTTTTAAGAAAAATGTAAAATTAAACAAAGGTGGGCTGAAATGTTCATAGGCTGATTATGAAGGAATTATGCTAGAACTGTGAAATCTTGCATGCATCGATTTCAACTCTTATTAATAACTGCATTGTTTCTTTCCAGGAAAACTGATATCTAACTGTTCAAAGACTGTTCATCAGCAGCAACAGATATGTCATGGTCACTGTGATACTGGTTCCCATCCAAGTGATTTTTTATGTTGGGGAACAGATGATAATCAAATCAGGAGAATAGGGAGGAGGATCAACCAGTTCAAAGCTACAGTCACACACAGCAACTATTGAAACCAAAGACTCGTGTACTGAAGCATTGTCCTGACACCTTTCATCAGTTTTTCTGGATGTTTGGTCTTGACACTTTCTTAACTGCCTCAGTAACTTGGCATATTACTCTCTATTGATGGTGTGACCCTTGTGAAGATAGTAATAAACACAATGCCTTTTGCATTCCAAAAACATGAGGCCATCACTTTCCCTGCAGATGAAATGACTTTGGCCTTCTTTGGAGCAGGGATTGCCTCTTTGTCTCTGAAAGTGATGAACCCAACACTCATCCTGGATTAAGAAATGTTCAAAGAAACCAGCTGGATCTGTAATGGGAAAAATTTGAAGTTGTTTAAATTTTTCCCATTACATGATTAGTGTGTGAGCAGGTACCAAAAGACATACCGCCCACCAAGCAGAAACCTTCATCATGTCAAGTTCATTGTGCAGAATTTCCTCAGCTTTCTCAAGGCATATGCTAATAACAATGGCTATTTGATTAGTCAATCCCCTGTTATCCATTACCATGTGGTGAACACGATCAATGTTTTCCTCATGGTGAATGTTGCTGGATATCCAGACCTGGGGTTATCTTCAAGATTCTCCCTTCTTTTCTAGATTCAGCTACCCACTTTAGCACTGTTGATATCACACATGTAGTGACCATGTCAACATGAATGTCCTTGAGGGTTAAATCCTTTTCCGCAGGTATTGATAGCACCATGATGCCAAATTTTGTCCATGTTCAAGAGAATTCGCTACTAGTTATTTTTTAAGTCTTCTTTTGAACAGTCAGATGTCAGTTTACCTGGATGCCATTATTAATAAGAAGAGTTGAAATTGATGCATACAAGGTTTCACAGTTCAAGCAAAGAATTTTTCAGCTCACCCTCATAAATAAATTACTTTATTCTGTATTAAATTTATCAATTCTACTAGTTCAGTTGCATTGAAATGTTTTTTTCTATTCTTTTAGATGCGAGTATAAAAAATTTCAGCCACTATTTATGCAACTTAAATAATAATTCTTGTATATAAATTAAGCAAACCAAATAATGGTCAAAATCTTAAATTGTTATTAAAAAAAAAAGGATTGCATCAATCATATATTAGTCATTATTTTACATTTAAATATACTGTACTTGCTTTATTTTTCAATTGCCAAATGTGGTGACTTAGTTTCTGACCTGTTAACCATACTTTCATTGGTGAAGTTGATCTCAAATGTAAGTTTTAATGACGAGAATTCCATGTGCAAATTTAATTCAAACTTTGGGAGGTGACTTTTATACAAGGGTGACTTACACATGTATACAGATTTATCCCAGTTCTGTGTATTTTCAATGATAATATTGAATGTTTTGTTAAGTTATTTGATAGCAGACACAGAAAGGAAACTGCAGGAACGCCTACAGAAGTCAATAAAAGAAAGCAAGAAGAAAGTACTAACTACAAAAATGCAAGAAAGGAGAATGCATGGTTGTCAATAAGAGGAACAGCACAAATTAAAAATTAGAGATATAGAAATCAAGCAAGTATGAAAATTTAGTTATATGGGAAGTCTTCTAACAGAAGATGCAAAATGTGACACCGAAATCCAAAAGTGCATTGGAAAAGCAAAAGGTGGTTTCCAAAAGCTAAGCAAAGTATTAAGAAACAAGAAAATTTCATAAACAAAGAAACGAGAACTAAATCATTATGTAATATCAGTCCTCCTCTAGAGCAGTGAATGTTGGACAATCACCTGAGAGATGAAGAAGCAGCTTGAGGCAACAGAAATGTGGTTCAACAGGAGGCTGATGAGAATATCAGGGACTGAAGATGTGAGTAATGAGGAAGCTTTAAGGAAAAAAAAAATATCTGTCCCATGCGGTATACACACTAGGGCAATCATGTATCTTTCAAGACATGACTGATCAGGCAGATTTTTTCCCGCAGTAGGTTGCCATTTCTTTCTGCGGTAGACCAGTTACTATCCAAGGCTATAGAACCCAGTTTGTCCTGCTATTTACTCATAGCTGGAGGGGGTGGGCTAAGAGGATTCATAACTTTTCCAAGGGCATTAGCACGTAAATGAATGTAATAGATCTGACTGCAATTCAAACTCAACTCTCCGATTCCTCAATCCGAGCTGCAATCTATTAATCCACCATGCCACTATTCATTATTCCACCGTGCCTTAATTTGTTATGTGCCAGACGTGATACATGCTTAGACAATCATGTATCTTTCGATACGTGACTGATGAGGCAGATTTTTTCCTGCAGTAGGTTGCCCTTTCTTTCTACAGTTACCATCCAAAGCTATAGAACCCAGTCTGTCCTATTTACCCGTAGCTGGGGGAAGAGGATTCATACATTTCCCAAGGGCATTAGCATGTAAGTGAATGTAATGGATTCAAGTGGAATTCGAACTTGGCTCTCCGATTCCACAATCCAAGCCGCTATCCATTACTCCACTGTGCCTCCTCTGCTTTAAGAAAAATGGAAACAAAAAGAATACTTATAATTTAAATCAAAAAAACAGTTGAAATTTCATGGATACATAATAAGGAAAGAGAATCTGGAGAATTTGACACTGACAGGACATATTGAAGGCCTTCTTGTAGAGAAAAGCAACAAATAAACAACCTAACAAGCTTATCTAAATGGTAGCAAGGATTGGGACAGATAATGAAAAGAGAGCCATTACTAGGAGCCACAAAGGATAGGAAGTTGTGGAGAGCTATGATATCTTGAAGGGACATAGCACATAGAAAATTTTGCCTCAGACCCACTAGTTACTAGTCTCCTTTTAATCTGTCTGTACATTGAATATTGTTGCTTCATCTGGTTTGATGCGTCTGATATGTATCTTGAGATTCTGAACAAAATCCAAAGAATTTGAGTGTCCTGGGTATGACGATAAACTACATCCGCATCCTGGGTATGACGATAAACTACATCCGCGTCCTGGGTATGACGATAAACTACATCCGCATCCTGGGTATGACGATAAACTACATCCAACAGCAAGGCCTCTGATCAGGAGGTTTTGAGGAGTGTGAAACCACCTTTTAATTGCTGGTGTTCCCAGGTCCACCCTGACCCAGGGTAGTAGCACCTGTTAGGGAAAAATAGTTAACCCCGAAACTGAGGTAAAAAAGCATTATAAAAGTGTAAAAATAGGTTTTAATACCAGAAATACTTGTAAAAAAATTATTACCAGAAATAAATTTTTGAAGAAAAAAAATATTACCAGCAATACGTTTTTGAAAAAAAAAAAAAATAAAAATAACACCAGCAATACATGTTTTAAAACCTATGCATTTTTGAGGAAAAAAATATTACCAGAAATAGATTTTTGACAAAACAAAATATTACCCGGAAAAAAAAAAAAAGTTGTTGGCATTAAATAACCCATTGAGGTTGATATGCCATAAAACACAATAAACTAAACCAAAGAATTTGAAATATTATTGATCCTGACCAGGTATCTTGGTTTCAGTCACTTTCCAACTGCTTTAATGTAATTTCCTTGTTATCCAGATATATTCAAGATTTGTATCATTCAGCATATGATTTTATTACTTTCCTTCTGTGTTTTAGGGATGAAAAGTTATTATTTACATTCAGACTAATGTCCTCATCCGTGATTATCCTCACAATGTTTAGGACAATTTGTGCTCCCCAGCTTTCTGCAGGTGTCCCAATTTCAAACTGAACCATTATTATTATAGATTATAAGAATTCTTTGAAAATAGTAATGATTTTACTTTTATTATTTAATCCATAGCTGGGGAGGGAGAAGTGGTGGATTCATACCTTTCCCAAAGGTATTTGCAAATAAGTGATTATAACAAATCTGGCTGGAATTAGAATTCAGCTCTCCGATTTTCACTTCGGAACTGTTATCTATTACACTACCTGTACATCCAAACTTACAGCACCTGGTATTTCCAAGTGATCACTCATCTAAGTAATTAATGTTGCTTAACATCATTGATCATACGAGAACTTCTGTTTCAAAGTGATATCACTATAAGTTTCACTTATATGTAGGTACACTAATAAGTCCAAATTAATCACATTGAGCAAATATTATACAGTAAAAGTTTCAGATCAAAATTCAATAACTGTAATGACTTATTGATCCCCTCTCATACTTTTTTATAATATTCAATACATATTAGTTTTTGTTTACATCTTTTTAACAGCTAGATGAGACAGAGAAAAAGAGTATATATATATATATATATATATATATATATATATATATATATATATATATATATATTATATAATATTACTTATATATGCTTATATATGCATATAGATATTTTTAATAGCATAAAAATGGGCAAAAAGGAACGAGATGTAGATAGATGTGAGCAGACAGAGAGATAGATAGATAGATAGATGTGAGCAGATAGAGATAGATAGATGTGAGCAGACAGAGAGATAGATAGATGTGAGCAGACAGAGAGATAGATAGATGTGAACAGAGATAGATAGATGTGAGGAGATAGATAGATAGATGTGAGCAGACAGAGATAGATAGATAGATAGATGTGAGCAGACAGAGAGATAGATAGATAGATAGATGTGAGCAGACAGAGATAGATATCAATTGACATTCCAGTTTTTCATGTAATTTTCCATTTAACACATTTTAAAAAGCTTTTCTCATCTTTTTTGATAACAAGAAAGTTAAATTAAAAAACAAAACAGTCCCACCTTAAATTTTGTTTTTTACAATGTTTATTTGAGATTTTCTGCAAAAATTTTAAATAACATTTTTTCAACTTTAAATAAGAAAATATAACAAAGACTTTTGTGGAAACAAGCCAAAATTAAAGATTTTAATTTCTATTTTCGTTTATTTTTAGAATCACATTCAGAATTTTGAACAAAGGAAGTTTCAGTTTAATGAAGTAAGAAAAACATGCTTTTTTTATTATTTTAAGATTTTTCCAGCTTTTGTCTTTCATTCTAAATACTTTCATTTTTGCAAGTTGTCTTTCTGCTTTTCTCTCATTCTTTTCTTTTTATTGAAAATCCTTCTAGTTTATTTTTTTGCTTCATGCTCTTTTCTCCTTACTCCCCACCCTCATTCAGTTCTATTACTCTTCTTTTCTCCTTTTTTTTCTTAAATTGTTTTTCTCCCCCTTTCTTTCATTTCTTTATTTCCTTCACGTTTTCCCCCCTCCCTCTTTACATCGTTTTTCTTTCTCATTTCAGTTTCCCCTTTTTTCTTAAAATCTATTGTTGTCATCCCATTCTTAACTTTTTGTTTTTTTTTTCTTTTCTATCTTTCTTCCTTGACACTTTTTATGCTTGTGGTGTAGAAGGATCGGTTAGCTAGCACTTTCCCACATATCAAGTCAAAAAAAAACAAAAAAAACTCATGAATTTATAAAATACACTTAACCCACTTGGTTAAGATAGGCTACAGGCACTAGGTCACCTTATTCCCCATTGTCCCAGATCAACCCATTCCTACTTTTACAAGCCACTTCATTTCCAATAGCCCTTTATAATCTTATAATTCATGCTGAAATGATTAAAAATTAGGTTTGTAAAAAAAAAAAAAAATGCCTGAAGAAATAAGCAAAGTGTAAGAAGATTTTCTTTATAACGCTAAGATCAAAGTGAAGTATCTGTTAATCGTTATTATTAATTTTGACTAGATTTTCTATCTTAATTGTTACTTGATTTCTATTGCAACTTTTACTCAGGTCATCAATCTACAGCACTGAGTAGACACAGCACAGGATCTGAAATGAAGGATATTATGTAAAGGAGTCTGTTACTATCAAAATAATAAAAACCAAGAGAAATGAGCAAAGAAGTGGCAACACCCAGTTCAAAACCAAATTTAATGACCCTGCCTCGTATTTAGAATAATTTTTCACTACTGTATTGACAGCCTGTACACTGTAATTAAAAAATGGAGAAAAATTAAGATGAAAGTAAATCCTAGTCAAAATTAATAATAATGGTTGATAATGCTTCAACTATTAAAATTACTTTTTTCTTTTTCACCATAATGTTCACCCTGTACAAGGCCCGAAAGTCACTCAAGGTAGAGTTTTACTTAGTGGAACAGTTTATGGAGATACATGGGAAAGATAACAGTTGACCTTAGACTTAAACAGATTAAGAGTAACAGGGGAAGCATCCTCTTGTTAAATATTTTCACAAAGCAGCAATCCATGTGAAGAAGCTGCTCAAGTGGAACTTACATCTCACCAATATAATAAGAAGTGAATGAGGGTGGTTTGTTAAAATTTGCATAGTCTTAGCCATGAAGGTTAAAACTGGTAAATCTACAGAATGTGGTTCATCTGAACACTTTCCATGGAAACAGAGATAGAGTAGCAAGAGGCATGTGATGTTTCATCTGTGGGAAAGGGGTTGTAGGGTGGAAAATAATTCATTACCCACAAGGACACAAAGATGCTGTTGGATTCTGTCAAGACTGGAAAGTGCTAGTCTAAAACAAAAACACTGAGAGAGCTTGTGGAATAAAGAGATGATTTTAAAAGGTTACAGTTGACCGTCTGCAGACTGAGCCTATATGGCTCTCGTGGCTCAGTTAGATTAGAACAGATGGTGCATTCATCCAAAGGCAAAGGAGACAATAGTGTTCAAATCTCACATATTCACTACTATATTTCTGACCTGAGCCAAAATTGAGATAAAAAGCAATGAAAATATATAGCTTCACTTGTTTATATAGAAAAGAAGACATATCCCAGCATTCAGCTCTTTATAATTAACACTTTCACTGACACATTGTTGTCTGGCTGTGCTGGCTCATTTTGGGAAAAAATAGAAAATTGTTATTTGACAAAAATAAATGAATTTAAAAACAATGACTGCAATTTCTTATGGACACTGCAATTTTGGGAGCTTACAATCATAAATTTTTTTCTTATCAATTTCACCACAAGCAAGGCAGTAAAGCCACTAAGACACAAGGGGTTACCTGATGTGGAAGAATTAGAAAACAGAAACTTCACTAAAGAGCAAGAACGAAAGAGTAATCAGGAGGACAGTAGAAAGCGATGGACATGGCATTTAAATTTTTGAAGATTAAAGTTGGCTGGAAAACATGGAGTCGGAAGAGTTCCACAAGCAAGAAGTGCAAAAAAAACAGTTAGCATAGAACTCCTGGTGACATCTAACCAACTTAAATGTAAATTGATGAGACCTCATTGCCAGTCTGCGATTAAATTTTAAGTCTGGGTATCATGGCAAAGAACCCATTCGAACAGTTGCCATGAAAGTATTTATACCAGCTCCTGTACAATCACTAAAGTTAAGCAACATTGAACTTGGTCAGTACTTAGAAGGGTTGAAAACCAGGTGCTTCAAGCTGGAATGTGCAAGTGGTGTAATTGATAATGGTTCAAACTTGTTAATCAGAGAGTCAAGTTTCAATTCCCATTGGGTTCATTATATTCACTGACACACAAATACCCTTGAAAAAGGTATGAATCCACCCCTTCTTCTCCCAGATATAGGTTAATTAGTAAGATTTGTATCAATAGACCATGATGATCTCAAAAAAAAAAATAAAAAAACTTACAATCTAAAAATATTTTCTGGCTTTAAATAATCTGCAATTGGTTGATAAGCCATAGAAAACAAATCAATCAGTTTTTGTTTTAATCAGATACTCTGCAGTACAGTCTAAGTTAAATGACACCCCAAACACAAGATAACAAAACTGTTACAAACATAGGTTGTATTGTATGGTACTATATGTCTCTGTTAATTTGGAAATAGCACTAAGTGCTACTTAGCTTATAAGGCAAATGCTAGGGACCAACATTATACTTTATCTTGAATATATATATATATATATATGTCAACAGCAGGCAATGTAAGTATGGTAAAGACATGTCGATAGCAGCAGAAGTGTCAATATGCATGTGTTTTAGTCAAACTACACTTACAGTTTATATTCTAACACAATAAACCTAAATACCTACTAATATAAAACTAAGAAAATAATTCTAGATTTTTTTTGTGGGGGGTTGATTGATTAATTTCTTTTTTTATGATTTATCAACCTTTTACAGTTTACTTGAAGCCAGAAAATATTTTTAGATTCTAAGAATTTTTTGGAGTTAATGATTTGCTAATACAAGTCCGACGAACTAAGCCATAGTTGGTGGTGGGGAGGTGAATTCATACCTCTGCCAAGAGTATTTGCACATAAATGAATATAATAAACTCAAATGGAATTGGAACTCACATCCAAAGTATTCCCAAGTGGTCACCCATCTAGGTACTGACTAGGCTTGACGTTGCTTAGCTTTGGTGATCATATGAGAACTATTTCTTATTTCTGTTGTGACTGTCAATTCAAATATTACTAATAGTACTATAGTATCTACCGCCAAAGAAAGGCAATATATAATTTTTAAAATGAATTTTTAAAAGTAAAAAATCTTGAAGTTTTTATTTTAGTTTTAATTTCAAGCTAATAGATTAAATATAATATTTCCAATAAGCAAAATACTTTGTGTATTTCAAACTAAATTTAAATTGATTGAAATTAGTTTGTTTGAAATTGCTAAAAATGGCCGATTTTAAACATATTTAGCTATATCTCTCAGCACAAGGTAATTGTCTTTATTAAAAAATCTTTCAAAAATAAAATATACTATTCTGAAACTTTATTTGAGATTTATGTAATCTCATTTGAAACAATTATTAGTTACTTTTAGTTTAAAATATTGCAGAAAAGTATTTTTTAACAGTAAGGTGGCTGTTTTTATGAGGTTTGGTTTGTTTTACAGCAAATCAACCTCAATGGGTTATTTAATGCTGAAAACTTTTTTTTTCCTGGTAATATTTTTGTTTTGTCAAAAATCTATTTCTGGAAATATTTTTTTCCTCAAAATTGTATAGCTGGTAATATTATTTTCAAAAACGTACTGCTGGGAGTAGTTTTTTTTAAATTTCTGGTATCAAAACCTATTTTTACACTTTTATAATGCTTTTTACCTCAGTTTCAGGGTTAACTATTTGCCCATAGCTGGGACCCTAACAGGTGCTACCACCCCGGGTCAGGGTGGACCTAGGAACATCAGCAATTAAGAGATAGTTCCACGCTCCTCAAAGCCTCCTGATCAGAGGCCTTGCTGGTGGACGTAGTTTATCGTCATACCCAGGACAGTGTTTTTATGAGGTGTTGACAACTATCTCGATAGACTTTGTTCAGAAATTTTCCTACAGGGGACATATCTATAAAAATGACTTCACAAACATAACGAGAATGCATTTTTTATATAATTTTTTGACTATCCAGTAATTTTAAAAATTTAAGAAAATATTCTAAATAAGCTAATGTTTTATTGAATTTTAGGTACTTCTTTCTTTAAACTTACTATAGCTACCACTCTTATTTTCTGATAAAGACATGTACAGATGATTGTATTTACAAAAATCAGCATGTTTATACATACACAAAAAAAATTTCAAAATTCTTTTTAAGCTGCTGGGGGAAGGGTTCCTGAATTGTAAGTTTTTCCATTTATGATTAGTAAATATAGTTTTTACATAACAATATCATCTAACCACTACAAATTAATGCAGAATTTTAAGATTTAAAAATTTATAA